CGCCGCACTCTCTCGCTTCTCTCTCTCCCCCTCTCTCACTCTCTCTTCTCTCTCTCCCCCCCTCTCTTTCTCTCTCACTCTCTCTTCTCTCTCTCTCCTCTCTCTCTCTCTCTCTCTCTCTCTCCCTCTCTCTCTCTCTCTCTCTCTTCTCTCTCTCCCCCTCTCCCCCTCTCTCTCTCTGTCTCTGCTGGACTCATTGGCCTTCCTAAATAAAGATTTCATGACCATGAAACACTGTGGCTGTGATGAGGATCGAAAGCATCACTCTCAGTGTTGTTAAGAAGTTAAAGACCCTCCTGAGGTGTTGCAGTCATTAAGGGGACGGGGTTTGGATATGAAGTTGATTTGGGCTGGGCGACAGAAATTAATCTGACCTACTGAACGGACAAATATTCCCAAAAAAGAAATGTGGAAAAGGCTGAGGTCTTTTCCCACCTGATTTAAGTTGGCTCTCTCAATTCAATTCAATTCAAATTCAAAGGGCTTTATTAGCATGGAAAACATACGTTAACATTGCTAAAATTTAAGTCAAAATAGAACACAAAATTACGTACAAATAAAGAAAACCAAAGATTAAATATTTAACTAAGAGCTGTGCAGGTTTATGTTTATTTTTTATTTTTTTTAAATATAACAAAAAATAAAATAAATAAATAATATTAATAATAATAATTTCATTTAGCTTTTCAAAATATTTACAGATGACTACAGATGACTTACAGAAATATAAAATAAAGATATTAAGATTTAAAGAGATGATCTTTTAAAGACTAGGTGGTGTGTGTATGTACAGCTCTGTGGTGTGTGTATGTACAGCTCTGTGGTGTGTGTGTCGTTCAGTTATTTACAGATGGAATTAGTGCAGGGATGTTTTGTTCACGGGGGTTTGGAGCTGTTGGATGCTCTCTTCTGGTCGCAGCAGTTCACATAACGTGCTGCAGTGTTTGCACACTGTTGTACCTCACCCAGCAGGTACACCAGTTTGTTGTCCTTTGTGTGTGTTTGTGATGTCTCTGATGTCCTGATACAGAGGACAGAGCTCTGTCTCCACCTCATGCTGGGTGCAGTGGGTGCAGACTCTGTCCTCTTTGGGGAGCCAGGTCTGTCGGTGGCGTCCTCTCTCGATGGCGAGGCCATGTTCACTGAGTCTGTACGTGGTCAAAGATTTCCTCAGCTTTGGATCAGTCACAGTGCTCAGATATTCTGCCACTGTGTAATCTCTATTTAGGGCCAGATAACATTCTCATTTGCTTTGTTTTTTGGTTGATTCTGTCGAATGTGTTAAATAGTTTTCTTTTTGTTTTTTAATAATCTGGTTTATTCTGATTGGGTTTCTGTCTGAGGGCTCTGCTTGGGAGCCCTCTCTCTCTCTCTCTCTCTCTCTCTCTCTCTCTCTCTCCATCTCCTTATCAATTATTCATACTCTGGTTTCGACACATTCTTGCAGTGAGTTTCCAGATATCCTGTCAAGCAGCACCACCCCCGCTTTGTCTGGCTGCTCTCTCACCATCCTCCTCCTATCATTACGTTTCCAAGTCCTCATCGTCTGTCCTCAAACTGGACACACACACACACAGACAGAGATGTGGACAAAGTTTACTATTATTTATATAGTATTGTTTACTGTATAACAGTAAAGATGTGAGCTCTCAGACCGGCTCATAGTGGACCTGCAGTGTGTTTGCTTCACCCAGCAGTGACACTGTGCTGCACCTGTTTGTCCCTCCATCCGTCTCTGTGCCAGCAGATAAGTGGAGCTCTGCTCCCCAGAGACCCAGCTGCTGCCCGGGACGCTTTGTTGTACTGGGGAGAGAGCCAGAGAGCGAGCTACACACACACACACACACACACACACACACACACACACACACACACACACACACACACACACACACACACACACACACACACACACACACACACACACACATGAAGCCGGTTTAGCAGAGTGGACATGGAGTGTAGTTTGAGTGGGAAGGCTTACGCTCATCGCTCTGTTGGAGTCGAGGTGAGGAGAGTACACACACACAGGAACACACAGTGGTCACACACACACACACACACACACACACACACACACACATCTGGTAAACACCATTCAGGAAATCAATCATGAATGTTAAGGGCCCTATTTTGACGGTACGCGTCACACCACGATCTGGGCGAGGAGCCCAAACCGGAAGGATCAGGACATTATGAAGCTCCGTCTCATCGTTCCCCTGAACCCACAGCACACACAGCTGATGGTGGATTAAAGTTGTTTTTGTTGTAGCCCAGCTATCACTTGCGTCATTTACGTCAGGGTTGTTGATTTCCTCCAGATCCCCTTTTTCCGATTTTGGTTGAAATTGTCTTTAGGTCGGCTGCGGATAGATAGAGGCAGCTGCAGGGGGTGACGGGGAGACGTCCCCAACAAGTCACCGCCCCCCCCCCCCCCCCGCCGGGAGATGTACTGGCTTAGGGGGCGAAACATCAGTGAACAGCGGCTTCCAGCTGACCACCCCGCAGCTGACCAAATGGCACCGTAGGAGATGTGACAGGCTGGAAAAAGCCAAGTAGAAACAAAATCTCACCTGTACAACAATCAGGTCCTGACAGAAATTAATAACTCAGGTTCTCTGAAAAAGGAACAATTGTAAAAACTTCGACCAATGTCTGCCACGAGGTACCAATCTGATGAACCAATCACACAATGCCAGACTATAAAGTCAAAGAACTTGACGTAGTATTTGTCCTGCAGGGAGAGAAACATTGACTCCTTTGTGCTAACACACGTCTGGTACCTCCATGTTCACCTTCCCACAGCGGGCGCTCTAAAGGCGGATGTTCAGAGCTGAACTTTATTAACCCCAGAGCTTCTAATCTTCCTTCATCCCTCACCTCAGAGCTTCAGTGTTGAATGAAACCAGATGCTCGCTCAGATTAATCTCCAGGAGCTCCTCTCTTTGCTTTTGGACAGCTGTTCTGAAAACTGCTCATCTGTCGTTTCAGAGTGTCCAGGGAGAGTTTTATTCAGTGTCTAAAATCCATCATAGATAATCATAAAAGAAGACGAGGCACCAGATAGGTTCTTCCTGGGATACGGGGGTTTTTATGATTTCTTTGGGTAATGTCATGAACTTTTTTTTTTTTAGTAGAAATACTTCAAAGGAAACATTGAAAGATAAGTCAGGTGGTCTACTTGTACGTTATGTTTTTGTCCCAAGTGAAGGAGTGTAAGTATCTCAGCAAGGCTCAGATGGACCCTGAGACTGACAGGTGGATTGGCTCAGTGTCCGCAGTAATGTGGGCGTTTTGCCGGACCGTCTTGCTGAAGAGGGAGCCTGAAAGGTCGATCTTTGTTCCACCCTCTCCTGTGGTCAGGAGCTTTGGGTAGTGATCCTAAGAAAAAGGTCGCGGATACAAGCAGCTGAAATTATTCAGTCTTCACTGGCTGCCGGTCAAGTCCTGCATCACAAAATCCTCCTCCTCACCTACAAATCTCAGCACGGCCCTTTCCCCCCCAGTACCTTTCTGACCTTCTCCACCCCCAAATGCCGACTAGGAATCTCTGATCCTCGGACACTGGGTTGCCCTCCATCCCCCACAAAAACCTGCAGACTTTCGGGGGGCAGAGACTTCAGCTTGGCAGCCCATCCACCTGTTCAACCCTGCTTATGGACTTATGGAGTTAAACGTGTTGTTTGTGTTTTCTGATGTCAAGTGTCCTTGAGTCCCTTAAAAAACGTTTTTTGTAAATTAAAATTCAAGATTGGGTGAGGAGCTCAGATATTCAGGGGGGGGCTTAGAGTAGAGCTGCTACTCCTTCACATTGAAAGGAGACCCTCTCTCTCTCTCTCTCTTTCTCTCTCTCTCTCTCTCTCTGTCTGTCTCTCTGTCTCTCTCTCTCTTTCTCTCTCTCTCTGTCTCTCTCTCTCTGTCTCTCTGTCTCTCTCTCTCTCTCTCTCTCTCTCTCTCTGTCTCTCTCTCTCTCTGTCTCTCTCTCTCTCTCTCTCTCTCTGTCTCTCTCTCTGTCTCTCTGTCTCTCTGTCTCTCTGTCTCTCTGTCTCTCTCTCTCTCTCTCTCTGTCTCTCTCTCTCTCTCTCTCTCTCTCTGTCTCTCTCTCTCTCTCTCTCTCTCTCTCTCTCCTGCACACTCTCACATTGAAAGGAGGAGTGGAGGTGGTTCGAGCATCTTGATTAGGATCCTCCTGGAGGCAGACCCAGCGTGCACTAGAGGGATTATATATCCTGTCTGGACTTGGAACGCCTCAGAATCCCCCAGGAGGAAGATCTGGAAAACTTTGTTGGTGAGGGGGAAGTCCGGGTTGGTTTCTGTGTTACCTCGTCATCAGAAAAACAAGACTTTGTGTGGTCGAGCAGCTCAGAGACATGAAGACTTTAGTTTGTCGTCTCTCACAGCTATACAAATGGAACAATGCCCCCCTCTGCTAATGTGTGTTTGTATGTTTGTATCCTCTGTGAGTTTGTAAGCTCTGCCCAAAAGGCTTCATTATTTTGGTCAGTTGTGAATATTAAAATGGATTTGCATACAGTTTGTGTAGCAGCCTCACAGTTGGCAGGAGCATTATTTCGTTGTTGTTGTTGATGATGCAGACTCGCCCAACAAACTCTCTCTCTGTCTCCCTGAAGTCTTTCCTCTCACTCTTTTTTACCTTTCATCCCACTCATCACTCTCCCCGCCTCCTGCAGCTCAGGTCTGACAGCACACCGGCAAACATATAACAATTAGCATAATGCTCTTTGGTGCATCCCGAAACCGCTCACTCATGAAGTTCAATCAGTCGGCTTTAATTACAACTTTCTTAGAAACATCTCTAATCTCTCCAACAGTTTGATCTCTCAAGGGTTTGTTCAGTTGCACGCGGTGGCAGGTAGCTTAAAAATGAACTATTTTTAAAGTGCTCTTCATGTGTGTAAAGTGTGTATGTGTGTTTTGTATCTAATCTGACTCTCCCTCTCTCTTTCTCTCTCCCCCCCCCCCCGTCTCTCTCCCTCTAGACGTCGATGACTGCCAGTCTAATCCATGCCAGAATGGAGGAACCTGCATCGATGAGATCAACTCCTTTGTCTGTCTTTGTCTGCCCAGCTACGGAGGAGCGACCTGTGAGAGAGGTAATGCTCGGAGGGAAACTCTGAGGGGTGGAAGAAGGGAAGAGAGAAGGGGGGAGAGAGAGGGGGAGAGAGAGGAGATGAGGAGGAATGGTTCAGACAGTATGAGGAGATTGGGAAGAGGAAAACCAGCAGAAGAAGAAAGAGAGGGATGGGAGAAGAAGGTGAAGTGAAGGTGGAGGTGTGATTATGAAGATAGAGAAGGGAAAGAAAGGGCCAAGGAGAAGGACGAGATGCAAAAAGACTATAGGTGATGTTTGAAGACCACAATGTAGAGATTCAATCAGCCCATCTGGATCCTTAAAAGCAGACAGAGGACACTCTGTGTTAAAGTCCTGCATCATATCAGCTGCAATTTGCATGTTTTAAAGATTTAATGTAAGAATTTCAACACATTCTGAACCGACAGATTGTTAGCTTTTCAAAGGAGACCCTGTTTGTGCTTTTAGTCCAAACGGTTCGAGAACAACTTGAACGCTTGTCACCCTCGGCCTGGATATGAATGTTTTAGGGCGTTTAAGGAGAGAGGGAGTTAATGAAGATGTTTACATGTCAGAGGACACATGAAGGCGGGAGGATGAAGGAGCTGGAGGAGGATGAGGAAGAGGGAAAAGCTCTGATTGAATGGTTTATATAGAACACCTGTGTCCACCCTGTAGTGTGTCTCATTAGGAGAACTCCCCCGAGAGGAGGCCCGAGAAGGAGGCTGTTCACAAACTGCACGTTACACTACGTGAAAACATGGACGACATGTCGAACAAAACCACACTGAGGAAACCAACAGCTGCTGCAGAACATTGGAGCCGAACATTTGGGTCAATCTCTAAAAAGCTGTAAACTCTTGTTCATTTACATCTGCATGAAAATGCTTCTTAACGTACTTCATTGTACATAAGATTTGAAACATTGAGAGAAGAAACTGCTTCTGGCACACCAACGAAGAAGAGAAATGTTTTAAATAATTCATATGAGTATGCCCTTTATGTCACAAATGAGGCACTTTTTATCTTTCAGCTGATATTTTTCCAAATGGCTGAATGTTCATTTTTAGATTTTTAGGATTTGACTACAAAGTTACACATTTTAAGTGTGAATTTGAATTTAAAACCAAGCAGCAACCTCCGGTGTTGAAAAATGAAGCTGATGCTGAAGTGTATAATCCTGCAGTTCCTGGAGTGTCCACTAGAGGCTGGCTGCAGAAGCACAGGAAGTCACATACACACCCATTCTAAAAAGTCTGTTTTTACAGCAGAGATTAACATGTTTACAGCCTGGTTCAAAAAAACAAATAGGTGTGATTAGCTCATGTCTTGATGGACACACACTGTACGGGGGGGTGAATGTTTTGATGACTCATCAGTTTTGATTTGATGAAGGATAAGAGTTATTCACAATGAGGCGTGTAGCTGACCTGATTGACAGGTGGGCGTGGTGTAACAGTTTGTCAGGAGGTTTAAAACCTGCCTCAGCTCCAGCTCTCAGCCTGTCGTTAGGTTGACTGAAAGTTAGACTGAGACAGCATTTCCAGCATGGAGACCGCCATCGATGGGACTCCTGCAGGAACAGACGGGTGACCTCACTCAGGCTCCGTCCAGTAATATTTACAATCTATGATATAAAACCCAAAATAAAGAGCTTTGATAAATAAGGAAACAGTAGAATTAGATAAATGTTTGGTGTTGCCATCTCTTTAGCGTAAATAGAATAAAAATGTAAAGATTGTAAACAAACACAAAGGGTGGGACTGAAAAGGAGAGCGTGGGATTTTAGCAAAGGACACTTATCTTTAGGGGTCGAGTGAGAGAACAAGAGAGGACGTTTCTAAACTGCTTTGAGTTCCATCAAATCAGGCTCGTTTCTGTCTGGCCAGCTGACCTTTGGCCTAGACTATGAGAAGAGGGTAGACGTTCAATAACTGTCTTTTTATGTGTCTGGTTCTGCTTTTTACTGCCCTGCTCAGAGAGACCTGGGAGTTTGTGGGCCCAGTAATCAATAGAGAGAGGAAAAGCAGGACATTTTAAACGTGCTTTGAGCGGCTCGAGGTTTTTAACTTTCAGACAGAAAAAAATCACGCTCACAGAGTAAAAGTTTAAAGGTCCAATCAGTGATATGTGTAGTGAGTGAAATGATAAAGTGAGCTTACAATATGATCAGACATTAAGGAAACATGTTATGTTGAAGTGCTGGCTTCTCTGACAACAATGCAGCAGCCTCCTCTCTAGAGTGAATGCTCACACAGGTCACCATGTGGTGGACACTGAAGCTTCAGTGTTTATCCAGCTCTGCATGGGTCTGTAAACCTTTCTGTGTTCTAACCTCTCTCCATTTTTCAAAAGCATCTCCAATATTGATCCTAGTTTGAGCACGTTTCTGCTCGTGGAGCTTATTAGAAACATGCAGAGGCTTTTTAGGTCGGGTACAATCACTTCTATCTGAACCACTTCTCTTGCCCGCTTCCATCGCTGCAACACCTGTTGACCTGATAACTGCTCTCATATCTGACAAACCGAGGGGCGTCCAAAACGGCTGTGTGTGTGTGGGGGGGGGGGGGGGGTGTCTTAAAAGCGCCTACCTTCTCTGGTCCAAACAAATCCAGAGCATTCAGGAGCAGAATCTAAAGTTAGAAGGAGGACATACTGGCTGCTGCATTGTTGTCAGAGAAGCCAGCACTTCAACATAGCATGTTTCCTTAATGATCAGATAGTAAGGTACCTTTATCATTTCACTCACTACTCATCTCACTGATTGGTCCTTTATCATAAAGTTGTATTATTTTGATGGCCAGCAGTGTTGTTGTTGCTGTTTAAAAAAAGGGAACAGGGAAAATTTACCAAGAAAGCCTTAGTGTCTTTCATCCATCGTTCACTCTATGACCTGTTCCTCTTCGTAGTCTCTAGTGTTAAAGACAAAATAATGTGTGTGTGTTGTGTGTGTGAGTAGATTTGTAACTTCGCTATTCCTCTCCTGAAGACACTTCTGTTCTGTCTCATGTTCCCAACCTCGCTGCTGTCACTCTCTGCACCTCTCACATCTTTCCAAGCCTCTCATCTCTGCTGCTCTGTAGGAGTTTTCAACACATACTCAGGGTGTGTGTGTCTGTGTGTGTGTGTGTGTCTTTGTGTCTGTGTGTGTTTGTGTGTGTGTTTGTGTGTGTGTGCACAGTCGCTGGGATGATTCTTTGTGGATGAAATTGTGATGCTTTTACATTTCTTTCGAGCTGAGAGGTTGCAGATCTTGCAGCTCAATGATCACAAGCATGTTTTTTACGTGAGAGACAACAGTGACATCATCCCTTCATCGGCCCGTAACTTTAGCCTTCTCACCTTCAATCCTTATCCCAACATTAACCCTAAAGTCGTGTCTGTAACCCGATACTGCCCAAATATCCCCCCTTTCCCAACTAGTCCTTACAATTAAAGATCCAAAATTCACATTTGTTCTCAAGAAAATAGAGAAACAAAGACACATACTTTTCCCCTTCCACTGATTTGATGTGAGCGGTAACTGGGAGTGAGTGGAGGGAGATAAACAGCCGAGTCATATGTGCTGTTTTTGGTTTTAGGTTGAAGACGAGTGACGCTGCTACGTTTCAGATCGGGTTTGATAGCGCATGTAGGAAGAGCTTTACAAACACATGGGCTAGGGTAGGGACGTCCTCTACAATCATTAACCATCATTATCAGAGGACCCCGGGTTATACTGATGACAGTCTGTGTTACAGAAACCAGGACCAGAGAGCACAACGGCTGTGAATCTGGGACAGACAGAAACAGAGACTTTAACATCCTTCACACAGTCCATTTAGCAAGAGATGCCAACTGCTGAAATCCCATTGGTCAACAATCCAAGCGCCTCTCCTCGTCACAGTCATGTTAAGCCACAGTTCACTGAGCAATGTAGCATTTTGTGCCTGTTAAACATAGTTCCTTGTTCTTACATGTTTATTCACCTCTTTGTGTGTTTGTTTGTCGAGAGGGAGGTGACTCAGCATCTGCTCTCAGAGTTCACAGGAAGGTTCAGAATGAGGTCTGCCAGATTAGCTGTGATGCTTCTCTCTGACTAACCTGCTGCTGTGGGAACAGTGACTCAGCAGAAAGCTGTGATGTTTGTGCCATCCTCACCTTAAACTCATCACACACTATGGCCGGCCTGTCCGTCCTCCATCAGCATCAATCTGGAGAGACACCTCTATGAGCTGATTATACAGAATGAACCTTCTGACTGACATCAGTCGTTCATGCAGCACTCTGTTAATATTTTACTGACTGTTAGAGCCACACAAGGATGTGCCATTAATCAACACTGCACTCATAATAATCCCAGAGCAGATTATGCTCTCACCTTTTGTAGCTTTCTAACATTAGATTGTCCATCATCTGCATCTCTCTCTCTCTCTCTCTCTCTCTCTATCTATCTATCTCTATCATACACATGCATTAGAGTTTACTGAGCGGGTGGGAAGAGTGTCAGAAAAGAGGATGCGTGTTGTCCATTTTTCCCTGAAGGTTTGAGAAACTGTATATTTCACTGGTGATCCGATCGTCATATGTTCATACTGGTAACGGTCGGGATTCACGGGGGCTGATGCAGCCTGTGCATGGAGGTGTGTCATGACAGGCAGCAGACACAGTAACAATGCATCTGTAGATTTAAGTAACTTCTTTCATCGGCCCGGTATGAAGGTACCAGTCGGGGTGGAGTACTCGGTGGAGGGATGTAGTTGCGTAGTTTGGCAGTAGAGGAGGTCGTTGTGTAGTTTGGCAGTAGAGCAGGTAGTTGTGTAGTTTGGCAGTAGAGCAGGTAGTTGTGTAGTTTGGCAGTAGAGCAGGTAGTTGTGTAGTTTGGCAGTAGAGCAGGTAGTTGTGTAGTTTGGGAGTATAGGGGGTAGTTGTTTTTTTGAAGTAGTATTGTGTCTCCACTTGTCCTTGATGACAAAGTGAACACAGCCTGGCCTCTATTAGAAACCAGTTCAGTCTTTGACGGCCTGTTTCTATGGTCAGGCT